TATTTAGTTAGTAAGTAGTCATTCCATGGTGCAACACTGAATGTCTTAGAACAAAATGTAGGCTACAGTTTAGCGAAATATTACTGTTAACACTCGAACATCATAACAGTCAAGTGGAACCCTGACAACGGAAATTAAGCGATGGGGCAAATAACAGAGATTAAGCTAAAAGTAGTCGCGCAAATGTATGATTATTCATACACAGGCTAGGTGTGCAACAAAGCAGTTAAAAACCTAGTGGAAAATAACAAACGAATATCAGTGGTGTAAGAATATTGTACAGGAGGGTTTCTCAAGTCACTCACTGTACTTTAGAGATTTTTAAAAAAGAAAATAAGTTAAAAAACAGGATTACTGATTTGATCATGAAAAAAGCAAATCACAAAATCAGCTTATAAACGCCTGTATCATTGTACCATCCCCATATTGTGTACTTATCAAAGTGTAGGAGAATAAGGAAATTAGTCAGTTCAATTGAGCTTTATCCATTTCACCGTCAAAGGCCACTTTGTTTATCCATGCTGATTGGACAGGATTGTTGAGATGAGTTTTCAGGAAACAGAAGCACGGTTACCAAATTATGGTGTGACTGTGCATCTCTATACTACGTTAATGCTGTCATTAATAAATACCGCCTTGAACAGTCACATCCATCATATTCTCCTTTCATTTGTTGCAGTTGTGTTAAGAGCAGACTTTCCAACAGGATAGGTGGACCAAGCTAAATAGTCAGCATACAGTGTAATAAAAGCTCAGATCTGGCAGGATAGATTGCCCAATCCCAATCATGATCGTTATTTATACTTAAAGCCGGTCAGAAACTAGCTTTAATAACTGGTTTCCCAGAGTACATTAAACGAAACCTTTAACATTAGGTCATTGAGGCGATACATAGCCGTAGAGTGGTACGAGGAGTAGCATTTTGAAACCATAAAATAAGGGCTAGTATTGGAAGCCTTGGTAAACTTTTAACATGTGAGACTTATTGTTGAATCAGTTACCACGGTGTTCATTAAGAGATTAAAGATATGGATAGCGGCATACCAGATGTAAGACTAGTGCTGTGATAGCACAGTTTAGCGTATATCCTGCAACAGACGGCTTCCGGAAAGTATCTATAAAGTGATGCAGATGTGTTGGAGTATCAGTCAATAAAGAGAATACCTAGCCGCGATATCCTATACAATTTCATTTCCTGGTCTTAGCCAAAGTCCTACTCAATCATTCTTTCACACAAATGACACATGCTATTGTGCTGGCATAGAAGAATATGTTTTGTATGCATACGAAGCAGATCAAGATGAGTAAAGATGAGACTTGTTCAGTGGTCACGCAGACACTTCCGACGGTGTCTGAATTTCAGTCCTCTCCACTGCCTTGAGGCTATTTCTACCTGGAAAATAAGGGAAATACCCACATAAATGGCATGATTTCGGTTGACTGCGGCCGTTTGACAACAATGGGCTAATGTCAGACTCTTTAGCGATAGCTCATAGTTTATTGGTTATTTTGGATGGTTTCATTCAATCAAGTGAACAAATATTCTGTGAAGCAAACTGCATGATTATTAACACCAGACTTCTGCTAACTTTAAATTCGTTTCAAAACGTCTCATTTAGGGACCAAGGCATTCCATTCCCGTTCCCAAATTGACGCCACAGATATTCGGAATTCTTCGCTTTCCATTTTTAGCTAACACTGGCCCCAAATATTTATTTTGCCAAACGTTTACTGATTCATGTCAGAAATCTGCATTATGATGGATGCAAGTCAATATCAGACAATCAGTCAAAATTACACCTGAAACAATAATCGTGACTGAAACCTGGCTAATCCAAATTATTACCGACAACAAAATCCGTATAAGTGATATAGTTCTGGTCAGGAGAGACCGGGTCAGCAAGGAAGCGAGGCGTTGCCATATACTTTTACAAGTAACTTAAGTGCACACGTGCAATGGACCCACCACTTAACTCCCATACTCTATATGGTGTCATTTCACTGTAGGCCACACCAAGCATTTACTGGGTGGCGCCCACTGATCACCCACCTATGGGATACAGAATAACCAAGAAAATGCTCACTGCCATCACAGGGATACGGGACTTGGGCTATGACCAAATCACCATAGCTGGATATTTCAATGCCCCATCACTGAACCTTGGCTCGGGGTTTGCTAAGGGAAAATTTGGCCGAAATCTATTGCAGACTATTCGAAACACGGGACTGACTGAGAATGTTGGAGACGACACTAGGTGAGGTCATCAAAACTAGACTACATTCTAACTAGTGACCAACTACTATTCGTAAAGGTCCAGATCATGACTCCTCTAGGAAGTAGTGACCACGCAGTCAAAGGTTTCGATCTCGTTCTCCGTGAGCATTCACAGTGGAACGTTACGCATTCATGTCTGTGTTACAGCAATGCTGACTATGCTGAAATGCGGAGGCTCTTGTCCGACGCAGACTGGCCCTTAGCATGGGATGAGCTGTCTGTGGATGAACAATGGGAAGCAGTAAAAAAGATTATTCATACAGTAATCTCGGATACCGTCCCTTTAGTCACAACACAGCCCAAAAGAAAGTCATCACGGTTAAAGAGAGGCACGCAACGTATTCCGCAAGCAAAGTGGAAGGCTTGGTTTACGTGGTGCGTATCTAAGAGTCACATCGACCACGATGCATCCCTGGAACTCGGAAGCCGGTGCAATGCAACAGTCAGCAGGGACAGGAGGTCATTCCAGGCTAACCTTGCTAAAAACTCCTAGCAAACCCCATAAAATTGTACCGATTCATGTCGGAGAGAAAACCAACCAACCAGGAGGCATGCACCTTAGGAGGCCCAAACGGTCAATATCTCACTAGTCTGGAGATGGCTGAAACATTCAGTTTAGCTTTCACCAAACAGCTAAAGAGCAATGTGGGTATTACCGTTACGGACCAAAATGGTGGAACTACTATTCCACAGGAGGAAGACTTAGTGGCTACTCCTCAAATAAACCTGGCAATAGTATTAGAGAAGCTATAGAGACTCACACCTGGGAAGTCCCCAGGTTGTGACGACATCAGGCCATCTGTTCTGAAATAGTGCGCCGAAGCTCTCTGTGGGCCCTTATGAAACTTGTTCCAACACTTCATGGAAGCGGGGAAACTGCCAAGGAAGTGGAAAAGAAGCATCCTTTCTCCGGTCTTCAAGGGTGGGGATAGGCAAAATTTCACTAGTTATAGACCAGTAGCTCTACTCCCAGTGGTATTAAAAGTACTGGAAAGTATTATTGACGATCACATCAGCGAATATCTCGATAGTTTCCGGAAAGGCAGATCCTGAGTAACTAACCTACTATCAGCTTGGGACGATTGGACATAATGCTGGGATATGAATATTCCAGTCCATGAGGTCTTCCTAGACTTTAAGAAGGCATTCGACACTGTTCAGCATGACCTTCTCCTACCTAAAATAAGCCGGGCAGGAATAGGTAAGCCAATTCTGTCATGTTTAAAGGACTACCTAGCTGAAAGGCAGTTTTGCACTAAGGTCAATTGAGTCCGATCATCTTGGCACAGCTCGTCATCAGGAGTGTCGCAGGGTTCTATCCTAGGACCACTGATGTTTTTGACTTTTATCAATGATCTACCATGCCGTCTAAGCTGCCCGACTCTTCTATACGCTGACGACGTGAAGATATGGAGGGCGACAAAGTGTCCGGAGGACTCAGATAGGCTACAGGAAGATCTAAACCTTCTGGAAGACTGGGTGGTGGCCAGTGGCATGATTTTCAACCGGAAAAAGTGCAAAGTAGTGAAGTTACGCACATGTAGACTGCAGATTGCAAGTTACACCCTGAAATGAGATGAAATCTTGTCCTACACAACGTCAGAACGCGACTTAGGTTTAGTTCTAACGGAAAAAATGGACACAAGCGTAAATTACACGGGGGATGAAGAGAGGGTCATACACTTTACACATAGACAGTTAGGGGCACGCACTCCTGAGCTCTTTCTAAGGTTGTACAAAACATACGTTAGACCACACCTTGAAGTGCACAATATTATTGCACCCTCACTGCTTAGAAGAGACGCCAACCTCTTGGAAAGTGTTTAAAAACGGGCAATTAAAGGAGTGGTTGGTCTCCGGAACAAACCATATGATGAAGGGCTGAAGAAATTAGGCCTATTCACACTTAGCTGCCGTCAGCTTAGGGGGGATTTAACTACTGCCTACAAAATAACAAATGACCAGAATCACCCAAACAAAGGTGTTCTGCCATTGAATAGGTATAGGCTCCCTCGTGGAAATCCTAGATGGATATCTCACCAGAGGGCAAGCACCCGGGTGTGCTCTCACTTCTTTTCACTGCGGGTTTGCTGTCCCTGGAATTCCTTACAGGCAGATGCAGCTATGGCCTCCATCTGTGGACGCCTTTAAGCGAAGGCTGGACAACCATGTAGAGACACAAGGACTGCATCCAAATGGCTTATCCGCTTAAAATTGCATACACCATTTTCGGGTAGACAATTAAACTTGTTGTTTTACTTCTTTACATACGCTCGCATCTTACTCTCCTATTATTATTATCATTATTACCGGTTTATATATTATTCATATTATTCTTCAAATTTAATCAGCTGACTGTTGTTACGTTTTCTTATTCTTTTTCTGTCTGTTAGTCTGAATAACTTCACAAATTATACCTATTATTATCTTTTTCCTTTTGACGACGATACTGGAGGACTAACTGGTGAAAGGATCAACTGTATGCACAGTAGTAACAGTCTTAACACACCTCATACTACAAACCAAATATAATAATTAATCCCTGCACAACTCCTTTTGGAGTCAACCAAAGCTACGACAGTCGAGTGGTGGGACGAGCTACGCAGAAGTTTACCAAAGATCAGGAACCTATACCTCACAATCAAGAGGCGAGCACAAAGAAATCAAATTGCTAAAACAATATTGGATAATGGAGTGATAGGTTGTCTCTAGGTCACTCTGAAGGTTGCCAGTGGTGGCACCCAGTTTGTAACTTTACCATCTTTTCATGTTTTGGTATAAGTTATCATGCTCTTGTCAACAGTTTAGTGTTAAACAAAGTCAAGTACATACGATGATTATTTCTGCTTTTCGGCTAGTGTTAAGACTAAACGTCTTTAAACACTGTTCCTTAAAAACATTAATATTTTAGAGTCTGTCGGCAGAATCATATTGATATATGATGAGAAACGACCACCTGGTTATAGTACGACTAATTAGATATTTGGTTGACGTTATTATCTCATATGAATGGGCAAAGCTCCTGAGGACTTTTTAATTCTTTGGTTCTTTTGATTTTGTATTTCTGTATATTCCACTATATAACTATATATATTTACGTGTATATATATAATCAAAGTAGGTAATATTATTTCAGGCCTTATATTCATTAATTTAACTAAAACTAGTCCTTTTCTTAAGGGTGACTCACACTCTAGAAAGGGTTGTCGAAGAAGGGTTTGGACAAGCCCAGAAATTTATTAGAAAAGGATTAGTATATGCTTCAATCCTTCTATCCTCAGTCAATAAGTCTGAAATCTACTACAGCAAGACTGATAGAGTATGAGCCCTCATGATCTTGAATGCAGTGTTACCCTTTCCCATTTCATAAATGGGAAAATTTGCTTCGAAATCAGTATACATCTATATCCAGTGTTACTGTGTAAAGTTACCTAGAATATTAATAATTCCACTGATATAAAGTTTTCTCTTATGGATGTATTAGTGATAGACAAGTACGCAAAGACTGAGTAATAAGATCTTACGATGTCTGATGAGGTTTATTCACAAATCCTCATGGGGTGTAAATTTTACAACCAATGGAGTAGATGCACCTTGCATAGTTTGACTGTTATGCAAATGATCGATAGCGTTTATCGCTTCTGTATTCGTTGAGAATTTAATAAAAGCACAGCCTTTACTCATTCCATTCTGATCTCGTTGGATAGTACACTTTTCAATTTGCCCGTATGGTGCAAATGAATTCTGTACATCCTCTTCTGTTTGATGCTTTCCCAACATACCAATAAACAGTTAACGATTATCGTGTAAACGTAATGTACTTTCACCACAGGAATTATGTGGAGTTGTTTGACGTGAAAGAGACTTATTTGTTGATGGTGGAACAGAATGTCGATCAACTGATTAGTACGGGGAATAAGTTGGTGAAGAGTTGTGATGCTGGTGATGAAAGGCGGGATGTGTTGTGTAGTCACCAGTCGCATTATTATTGACAACTTTTGAGATGTTTGAATTTGATCGTCTCGTTTCGCAAAGCAGTCTAATATCTGGATCAGGTTTAGCATTTAAGCCATTATGGTGTTCAGCAGAATGATCTAACATCATCATTGTCATCATATTTCTATGTCTTCAGGATGATAAATTTATTCCTGTTTCCCCAGTCTACTCCACTTAATCGAGAACACACAACAGTGTGAACCGCAAAGTATGTGGCTCCGGATCATGCTGTGGGTTTGTAAACAGTTTGTGTTAAGCACAATTAACGTATGATCCACTTTATCGGGTGGCTAGTGCTGATTTTAGGTATGATACATCATACAATGCAATTTTACACTTTTGAATGTTTGAAGTGATTTATACATTTAGTATGCATTCTTAAATACTTTCTATCTAAGTATTTCTAGTTAAAGAATTCTAAAGTTAATAACATCGTGAATTTGTAATAGTCTTTAGTGTGGTCGGTCGGTCGGCCGGTTTTCGACATAGAACTTTGCACATATGTGCGGCAGTTCAAGTTGCCACACTCCATGTAGCACACAAAGCAAGAGAAGAAATGCATAATATAGTCAGTAAACAGAGGTGTGAGACAAAGGAATAGTAATAACGAAGAACAAAACAGTTTAATTGGAAATCATAAGTCACAAGGAGTGGATGCATCTGCGCCACTGAGAACGATTTTGAGCCATGTCACCAATTGTTTCCAACCATAGGTTTTTACCGTCCCGAGGACCCCAACCAGGAAGTCTACATCTTCCTACGTGGCTTAGACTAACTGTTGTGGATTTCATTGACTGGTGCCATGTTTTCGTTTAACCGCCGCTAGCTCTTTTCCAGCCTGACCCTATATCAGCTAACATTGCCCGTTGAGGAAGGCGATGACTAGGCATACGTAGCACATGTCCTAACCATCTCAGTTGATGTAATTTCACAGTCTCGTCGACTGATTTACCCGCCTTACCTAGCACTCGACGCCTAACCTGAATATTGCTCACCTTATTATACCACTTCACACGGGAGATAGAACGCAGACACCTATGATCGAACACAGTTAATCTTTTCATGTCTTCCGCTCTCTTTATTGTGAGATTCGTATGAATTTCATTTGTCATTAATAATCACTTCTGTACCTAGTATAAGATGTATCATATAAATCAAGGTTATGGGATAAGTTACACGTAAAAATATTATTGTATTCAGCTTCCAATACATAAGATTGATATCAGTATGTTAATAATGTGTGCTTTTGTTTTTCTTAGTAATGAAAGATCTGTGCTTATCAGAACGTCGGAGACTTATGGATTTCGGAAACGAACAACGAATTTCTCCTAGGGTTTATCAATTAGCCCAAATAGTTTATCGAGAGTTCGAGATCATGAGAAATATTTGTGGTGAATCCACCTACGGAAGACTAGTGCCTATTGTTATCAGTATCCTAGAAGAAATGGACCTTTTGGTTCTCGAGAAGCAGAAATTGGATCTCGATTTGAATCTTCTAACTGCTGAAAAGAATGATCTTTCTGTAGAGCTATGTCGTCAAAAAGAACTTTACACAGCCTCAAAAAGGGTGCGTTTTAGTAATATTTATATTCACTAATGGTGTATTTAGCATATTCACTGCTTAGAAGATGAACTTCTTGGAATGAAAAAAGAAACAGATAAAAAACTAGAGGAGCTGGAAGAAACTCTTAGACATTATAGACTTATATCTAAGAACGCTAATGACCACAGTAAGTCATTGCCAACTAAATGTAATGACAGTCATTTGATGGTTAAAGATTTGGGATTGTTGTGTTAATTAATTGTATTTTTATTGACCAGATATAGTATAATAATAAGCTGACTTGAATCCTCATAATGTTCACTAGCATAAGAATTTGGATTTCATATGAAAAACAGGAACGAAGTAAACAGCAGGAAGCCGAACATTGAGTTTGTATTCTGTAGGGCATAACATGGATAAAGTGCATATTCTAATTGATTGCCCTTCAAGAATAACTGTCATTTATTAATAAACTATAATTTTGAATTTCGTAACCAATAGTCGTAAGAGTAGTTATTAAGACACGATTATGTATCAGTTCATGATATGCCTTCAGTTAAAGAATCTTCTCTATGCTTGATAAGAGCGTTTGGTCCTTCTTTAAAAGGAAAGTAAATACAACAGGTTCCGAAATTCAGCATTTCATGTAAAGATGAGAAACGACAGAAAAACACCATTAAATGATAGGTAGGTATAGTAGAAGTGTATACAAAAATATTTGTTATTTTTTAGTTTTGTTTGGCAGTCAGCAATTAAAACTCATTCAGTGGCGTTGGTGGCACAGAGGTAGAGCGCTCGCCATCCACTCATGTGGTCTGGGGTTCGATCCCCGGCCGACGCATTCCTTTACCTCGCTAAGTCACTAAGAGGACTGATAAAGAGGTAAGGTTGGGCATGAGGCTAGCAACTCCAACCCGTAAAATTAAACACCACTGCTACTGAAACTTCAAGTCTCTAGCATGAAGCTCTATTTTCCACTGGGAACGTGAAGGAATAAGGAATTCAGTCAATTCGTTCCCGCGCTATTTGGAAGCGTGTAAATTTTCAGCTATATCGTTTTTAAGACACTGCCCAGTGCATCCAGATGCATCAAAAGTATCATCTCCATGAATCTATTCATCATTAAGACGATTTCTGTTGTAGCATAATCGCATTTCAATTTTTGCTTGTTTCTGTAGCCACCAAGCTGTATTCTGTATATAAAAGTCCCAGATACTATAAATAAAATGTATCCAAGTTACCTTTATTTGATGATCTTACCTGCTGAATAATTAGCTCCACACCTTGTTGTTGTACTGCACCAAGTCCGCCTATCAGTGTGTCTTACCAGTCACGAAGACTGCGTGGTGCCAGTTGACTTTAAGTGTAGTTTATGGTAGTATAATTTTTTCTATCGTTTAGTGAGGCATTTTCGTTTTTTGTTCGGTAAATATTTGAAGTTGACGGTATGATATGTCCCGGTAGTGGTGATTTAATTATTGGTTAAATAATCAAGATCGTAATAAAACTTTTGTCGCTATTACAGGATGTTGCAAGAATTTAGATGAAAGTTGCCACATTTACATGTTTAGTAGTAGAAAAATAGGGGAAGAAGTAAAATTTAAAACAATTATTCCCCTTTATCAATTTGGATAGTGTTACTAGAAGACGGAGATTATCTGGAAAATGTGATGTATTTGCACAATACATCTCGAACAGTTTGATCACACATTTACTTGTCAAGTTAATTTATATGAAAAAATAAAGGGAACTTAAAGTACACAAAGTGACAAGCCAATTTTGAGGTTCGTCGATTTAAATTTATTTCAATCACTTTATGGTTGATTTATTGTTCAGGCCAAATGGTATGCTTATGATTACTACACTTAAGATTTGTTGGTCAGTATATGGACCTGAGCTGCAGTCATTCATCCACTTTCCAGATGCTTATTTATCTTTGTTTCTATACCTTGCTGATGAATCTGTATCTTTTTGTTTGATTTATACGTGAGAAAAGTAGCACTTATTATTCTTGTTAATTACTGATACTTTTTACATGAAGTAGAAAAATCTTATACATTTGTATGATAAGATTTCTGTGACCTTACAGACTTGTTATTGAGTAAATAAAGTAGAATTATTTGGATATTAAGATATGCTTTTTGTGTCAGTCTCATTCATAGTAGGATGATAATATTTCAAATCTCATCATAATCAACATATTTAAAAAAAATTTATTATACAGTTTTCAGACTAGAAGAAAGAGAACAAAATCTGAAATCAGAACTATCAGCACAAAATGAAAGATACACAAAACTACTCAAAATTTACGTGGATTATATAGAAACAAATAGTTTATCGATGTCAAACCATGATACCGAATCAGGAACAGTATGTGTGAGTCATAAGATGGACGTGAAATTGAACGATGGAGTGCTGAAATCGACCGCCGTAAGACATGATGCATAAATTTATAAATACTTATGCTTACTTATGTTGAATTTTTCTTTTAAATATTACAAAAATTTGATTCTTGAAGTCACTATTAAAGTGCTATTATTTGTTACAGTTAACGATACAGATATGTGCAATGAAATTGCATTTATTGTTGGACGTATCACTATGAATTACGTAGGGCGGGATTTTACTGCGACTTTCAGAATATATCAATCAGTCTGTCATCATTAGGGAACCAAACAGCCAGCTACACCAATATTACACATCTACTATTGCATATTTTTTTAACTTGGAGAATCTGACAGATTTTCATGTTGAAAATCAGTTTCTAACATGACGTTTTGATGTTCGTGATTAGTATGTATAACATTTCAGAAGCGCTGTAATTTTCTGCTGTCCAGATTGTGTTGCTACATGCAAGGCTATTATGTGGATATATATATATATATTTTCAAGTATTGGTTTGGTAGGGATTTTGTTTAATTGTATGGAGGATTTCATCATGAGCTGACATCAGTTAGAGAACCACTGGAAAACCTGGGAGTACTGGACAGCTGTTTCGTCCTAGTTTATATATATATATATATATATAGTCTATATGTTTATGGAGTAGTAATTCGATGGTCGATGCATGGCTTCTGTCTAACCTTTATTATGCGAGCATGAAAACGGTTTTTCTGGAATTTTTCTTACAAAAACATTTGTTACGTTATATTTCTGGTTGTTCTTATTGCTTTACTTCCACCCACTCTGTGCGCCACAATTTTATTCCAAGGACCACTTTATGCCATTCATTTAATTTCATCTAGAACTCTGTGATATGTCTAAAAGTAAGCTAACGTGGGACGATATTCCACCAAAGTTTTGAAGTCCAGTCTTTAGATTAATAGTGTGAAAATATGTATTTTCATTTTTTCTTATGGTACATCATGCATTATAATCGTATTACTTGCGGCAAATAAATTCACACCTTTGTATTTGCAGGATACACGTTCTCCAGACGATAATTCACATCGAAATTCGGCCGAGTCCAATTGTCTTCTAAATAAGGATGTCGAAAATTATCCGAACATCGGTGTTGAGTTAACAAGTAAGAAAGGAAGGTAGCCTAATTGTAACTATTCTCATTTAACCTCATTTTTAAGCTTTTACCCATAGGATTCGATAGGGACTAATGAATTATGAGTTACACTGGTCACTATCTTGGTAACCGATTCATGTACAATAAGTAATCTTGTACAATACAGTCGTATCGTGAATAGTGTAAGGATAAATTCCCTGCTTCCATAGTAATGCAGTGCGTCTTGGGGTCAGAATGGAGGCATTAATTTGCAGAAAATAGTAGATATGTTTTGTTGATGATTATTAGTAGGTATGAAAGTTTTGCTGTTAGTTTAATTTTCTCATAGTTATGTTGCTTACGTTGGTTTCAGTATTACCATTCACTTTACATATGTAACTGTTGCTCAGCAGCATATGAATTACGTTTATCGCCTGCATGAACTCACTTCATGTATTAGGATCTGATAAACTTCACAGCGCTTCCAGTTTTCACACACGTCCGGCATTCTCGGAAACACTTAGGAGTTTAGTGTTATAAAGAAATGATTTGTGAGCTAATATTATTTAAAGTAAAGCTGTCACTGACACAACTTTGTGTAAATCTGATTATTTATTCAACAATTCTGTTGCCTTTGTTCAATAACCGGATATCATGTCTATTCCAAATATGGCACAAGTTGGAAAATGCTACATGGGCCTTTTGTGTTCCTGCTAAGACCTCGTTAGCATTCAGTCCAGTGCTGCTGCTCCTTATTCCCTATCCTTGAACTAGGAGTCAGTGCACACCAAAATTATAGGGCATACCAAGATTATTGCTCATGGTGTTCAAAAGACTTGGCGTTTTGTCAGCGTCTTCACCTAGAGGGACAATATCATCTACATTCTTTGAGTCGACAAGATTAATTCCTAGTTAAAAGTCGCCAAAATCCATCAGCGTTACATTCATCAGTACATGTATAATAAAATTTTTAAAATGGAGATAGAGCCTCTGGGGCGCATACCACTGTTTTTATTCATTCGAGATGATAACTCGCCATTAGCTCTTACATATTTGAGTGAGTTCTAGTGGAGTGCAATGTACTTGGTGTACGCTCCATTGACGGCCAGATATTTCCACAGCATCCTTAGGTTTATGGAGTTAGGTGTCTTCAAAAAATTTGACATATTGTAAGTGTGTCTGTGTGGCAGAACTTAAAGATAGTGTAAAGATGTAATCAATATATCCTCGTTTGGACCTTATAACCTGCCAGGTTTTCACGAGTTTGTTCCTCCCAAACACTGCCGTGTCAAAACAGGACTATTGGACCTATAGTTCCGGATATTATTTTAGTCAAGTTAGTATTCCTATGTATTTCACAGGAGGGCTCATGTCTGTTTTCACAAGCTGGGACAATCAAAGCACTAATCTGATGGGACTGTTTCGGATTCCCACACATTACTTAATATCTTGATTCACCCAGTCAATAGTTCATCGCCACTGCCCTCAAACATCTCTGGAGTCGTAGCATCAAGTCTTGCTACTTGTCCTCGTTTCAAATTAGAGATAGTTTTTTGTCTCCACAGTTACTCATGGAGGAGTGACGTCTACATCCCATTGAGGTAGGTGTTGGATTCTGGACAAATTTCTTGTGGCTCTAGACCAGTTGAAATATCCCTCAAAGCGTTCCCTCCAACGTTCCAGTCGTCTGTCTTAGGAGGTGATTTAAGCTCCCTCTTCCTAGAAAATCGTCTCACTTACCAATGATCTTCTACAGCCTGTTCCCTAATGTGTTCGAATAGTTGTCTGTTACTTCCTGTATCTGATATCTTTTCCATCTCATTGGCTTTTTTACCCACTAGTGTTCACGATCGTTCCGCTGTCTTTTTGTCAGCTTGCATTCGATTAGCTCTTGGAATCAGGTATAACAGAATCGTATCTGTCAGAAATTGTCCATAAATGTCTTACAGCCTCTAATGAGCTGTCTTGTAAGGCGTCTACGTCAAATAGCGTTCACCAATGACGTTTGCCCCCTCTTTTTTCATCAAAATTTGTTAATATGTTTATGAAGGTTCTTATTTCCACATGTAACTTCTCAGAGGTTGACGTAGTCATCGAAGATACTGTACACAGGTATCATAGTCTCACGTTTTAATTGACTGAACAGACCATGAATTTACTTACTAGTTTTTGCGTTTTTCATTAAAAAAAGTATTGAAATCGTTAACTTATTCACTTGAGGATTTATTAAAATGCACTTAGGCACACTACTTTTTTTCATTGTTACTAGAGTGTGGACCTGACGCAAAGACATCAGCGCTGCTTGATGATGCTCTAAAACCCAATGACCGTACCGCCTGTTTCATTGACCTTTATCAAGACACGTAAGTTAGAATATCGGTGTTATATATTTATTTGTCTGAATATCTGGTATCTGTGCCATATCACGTGCAAATGTGTGGTGTTACATGCCCCCAAAAGGTGATAAAGAAAAACTTACAGATATGTTACTTATCTGAACTGCATAATTTTAAGGGATAAAATACCCTTTTATTTAGTGTTCGTTGGTTGAGTTTTGTGTACTCTAGCTTAGGACAAGAGCAGTTAAAAATCATTTAACTGTGAGAAAAAATTTCTAATGTTTTTTGATGAATAACATGGATGCATATCTTTGAGGAAAGTGTATGTGTCATTGAAACATGTACAAATGCGTAGAGGGGAGGGGTAGTATGAAAGCAGCATTCGTGGTCTGAACGTGTTATAGAATCTTTCAAGAGAGTTTGATTTCATCTCTTATTGTCATGAGTTTTAAAAGCTATGATTTTAGCTTCTAGAATAGTTATCTTTTCATTCCGATATGAGTATTTACAATGAATTGTTTTTATTAAAGACCTTAGACAGTATCAAGTGTTGATTTGCAGGAATTTCATTGGCGACAGGACTGATCACGAGCTGGTATCAGTTAGAGAAACATTGGAAAACCAGGGAGTATTGGGTAGCTGTCTCGTCCTGATTCTCTACCCTTCAGTAGTTCGCACCCACTGGGGTTCGAACCCAGAACCTCCCGGTTACGAGACGAGCTCGTAGACCATTAGGCCACTGGGACTTGACCCAATCGTCCATGAATTCCAGCTTCTGTCACTTTGTGATAAATTTAGCGTAACCACCAGCCAATGTTACAGACGAGTTATTGTCCTTTTGCCTGACTTGATCCTGCTGACTATGACTTAAAAAATGCGTCACTTTTCAAATTCCTCTTTTTGCGAGTACTATAAAATCGTAAAATAACTTAATGTGTTAATTTTTTACTGGTTTCTAGTAGCCGGGTCTACCATGTGTCACCTATTTTAGTTGTTTTGTCACCCTCTGACATAATTGGCAGATATATATGATCTCAATGGAGCATGAAACTTTATGCAATTTATTCCAAGTTTTCAAAGCGATAGAGATTCTTATCTCAGGTGGATGTTTTGGTTGTTGTTGTTGTTGCTGTGTTCTCTAGATTGGCTGTTTCATTTGCAAAATTAACATTATCCACTGACACAACTACACACCGTCATCTATGGAAACGAGGTCTCATGTTTTTCTGAAGAAAGAAAATGTTATTTGATCAAACAAAATTTACGCAAATGATGGACATTGGAGTTTTGTTGTGTAGAAATACCACTATTACTTTATCATCAAAGCAGCAGAACTACACTTTTCTTGGAGTATTAACATACAAATTAGCAATGAACATTCTTTAAGACAGTATCAGATAATAAATAATAAAGGATTATCATATTGTGGTGGGAAATGTGTGATTTATTCGGTACACGTAGTCGGTAGTAGGCTTTATTATTACAGGTAGATGGAAACTATTGAAATTTTATATTCGTCAGAGGATTAATATAAGTAGGTGTTATATTTTCTATGTGATATAGGTGCTTTGGATATTTTCCGTGAATAAACTACTGTGGTGTAAACCGAATACTGTTCAAAATCCAGTGTACTCAAATCAAGTGACCTCTAGTTCAGATACATAATCACAAAAAATTATATGCTATTAACAGCCAATATATTAATCTTAAGGGAACAAATGCTTTTGTTCTATTGAATCTTTTACATGTAACAGCCTAGTGCTCATTTTATTCACACACACATACATGTCCATAGTGAGTAGAAGATATGGTTTGAAAACTTCTTATGAAATAGGCTTCTTTGGTAGATGCAAGCAATCAGTACATTGAGTTATTTGTTCGCCAATTCTGGAGATTCGGTTGTTTGTTTTAAACCAAATATTTCTGTATTTGGATGAAATATTTTACAAATAGTGCGTCGATGGCACAGCGGTAGGATGCTCGCCAGCCACGCATTTGGTTGTGGGTTCAATCCCCTTCGACGCACTCCCTTATCTCTCTAAGCCAGTAATAAGTCTGTTATATAGGAAAGGTTGGGCGTGAGGCTAGTAAAACCACCCCGTAAGAGTAAACACTACTGCTACCGAAACTTCAAGTCTCCAGCTTAAAGCCCTATGTTCCACTGGGAACGTAAAAGAATGAAAACAAAATTTACAGGTATGGTTGTGCTTATATCGTCAGACTGTTACAACAACATGATTTTAAATAAACAGTACCCATCAAAATAAGAGCTGGATCTTTCAAATCTTGATACTGGAGGAATTTGTAGAAACCCATAGGTAAATATTAGTGGTTTGTAACCAGTCATTTCGCTAAACGTAAAAGTAGCCTAACTGTATCAATTATTTGTTTTAATTCTAGGTTGAATATACTATTTTAGGCGTTTGCACTTGTTGGATATATACTATCTTTTTTTGCAGCGTGGATTATGAGACAGCTCTGGAATCAGTTTCCGTCGTGGGACAAGTAGATGATGCTGAAGATATTGGTATGTTTTATTTTCTCTAATAATATTCACTATTTTGTTCAGTGTTTTCGTCTCTCAGTTTTCTAACATATGACTAAGCAGGTGAAAAGGGGTTTTGATCGTTAGAGTTCTAAGTTTATATTGGTTTTGTTCTTTTCGTGGTCACAGCTCTCATAGTTAACTACACAAATTCTGTCATTTCCCTTATTTCACATTCTCTTTAACTTTATACATAAAATTTCAGTATTCAGTTCAATCATCATTCTGAGTGTCTGACTTGTTAACATAAAATGCCGCATAAAAGTGAATCAGTTCAAGTTCCCATATTTCGGAAGATCAGACATATATATAGAGAAAAATGCAACAAAGGTATAACAGACAAAAATTCATGGGCGAGAGAAGAACTAAATAAAAGTTAGCGAGAACTTTAAGAATCTGTATGATAACAGCTACCTTATTGTAAGGAATTTTGAACCAGATCACCAACAGTCTCCAGACCCTGATTCTTAGCGCCCCGGAAACCCCAGCCAGACTGTCTATATCTCAATGCATGGATCAAACCGACTGTTAGAGACTTCAAAGTTTAGTGCCATTCGGTTTGGTTTATTATTACATTATCATTCGTTACTTGGGTTCCGAGTGGAAGTTAGGGCTTCAGCAGCACATTTCTGTTGTATTCTGCCTTGCACCATCTCTTTTAGTGGGCTCTACGATTTCCCAAAAGCCTTCATTTCCTCTCCATATGGTCTTTCCAGTGTCACTGTCAAAAGCTCAACTTGTTGTTTCCCATTCGGGTTCCACTCGAGGGCCCTATATGTGATGTCCCTCAACGATATCCTCGGCGTATCTCCAACCCACCATCATTATTTTTTATTCTATGTCTTATTCTTTGGTTCATTGCTTATCCTTTCCAGCCAACCATTTGATCTTCAGTACCATTGGCCGAAAGTAGCTGTTGATGGAAGTCTGCTTGAAAGACTGTCGGAAAGGCCTTTAGTGACTCACATTTCACATATCCGAACGAAACAAAAGCACTGACTTGTCATTAGTGTTGAAAATTCTGATCTCATCCCTTGTTTTGAGCACTGCAGATCTTTATACTGATTTCAGAGTAATAAACACCTGTCCTGCTTTCTCGATCATGGTTGGTTTAGACACCCTCATGCGCGCTGCCTTAGGTCGAAATGAGGCTACCTAGTTAGGTTATGAAGACAGATGACATTCCTAAGGTTACTCTCGTTGATGATTGATGCTTGTTGCACTGGCAGTAGTAGTAGTTGTTGTTGGTTATCATTCATCACCACCTGTGTCTTCTCTATCTTCCCCCCCAAGTCTTGTCTTCTCTGTCCCTTCTGTCAACTTGTGGGTTTTCGTTTACATATCTTCGAGTTTGTGTGACACGAGGCATAAGTCATCCGTGGAATCCAGTTCTTCTAGGGTCATTCTGCCAATCCAGTATATGCCTGTCTTCTCTCTTGCTTTCTCACATGATCCAATCCACCACAATCAAGATGAATATCGGTGATAAAAGGTAATCTTGTCTCACCCCTGTCTTTAATTTAAGCGCTTCACAGTGTTTACGGCTGTGAATTAGTTAGCATGTGGCATAATAGTTGTTGAGTGAGGTTTGTTTATGTTCGCCGCACTGCACTTCGTATTGTTGAAATAGTTGAGGGATTACTTCCCGGATGAAGCTATCCATGGCCTTTCCAAAGTCGGTGAAGTTGATGGTTATTGTCGGCTTTGTTTGATGATGATGCGCATTGCTGCAATATGGTCCGTGCATAGTCTGTTTTCCTAGTCTCGCCGGTTGCAAGCAAAATTTCCTATCCAAGATATTTTTTACTCTTGCGTAGGCTTAAGTCACTTTGTCAGTTTCACAAACCAACGTTTCTTCCGATCGGTAGTTACCTTTCTATCCTCTCAGAGCTGCCATAGTGGTGTAAATATGTCCTCTGAGATACTTGTGTCCGTTTGCAGGGCTTCTGGAGGATTCCGTGTGATCCTGTTACTTTCCAGACTGACTTTTAGTCATTTAGTAACCCTGAAGACATCTGAATTTGTTAGAGGACTGGTGTGCCCTGACCGTTCTATGTCCGCCGGTGTTATTTCTGGACTAGTTGTGCTTCCAGTTATCAAGTCATTAAAAGCATGAAAGTCAGAGAAGAGTTCTTTATCATTTTGTCGAACGCCCCTCTGCTCGTGATGACTTCTTTTCCTGTGTTGTCTGTTCCCAGTTTCACATTTATATAATTTATTAGAATTTTAATATTGCCATCTACCTTGAGTCTTGTCCATTACTACTGGTAGTTGTCTGTAGAAGTTATCTTTATATTTCACTGGCTCCGCGTTGTCTGTAGGTGCGTAGCATTGGATGGTTGTGACTTTCATTTCTTTTGAATTGAATTTTGCTCTCATGATCATCAGAGGGACTGTTTCCCACTGCATTAAAGCTTTTGATGATGTTAGTGACGTCATGACAGTCACATTGTCAATGTGCTCCTTTTTGTCGTCTAGGCTACTGGAGCAGATTATTGGCTCTCTATGTATTCCTAACATCTCTATGCCATATGTTCTCATTTTTTCTGCAACATGAAGAGCCTTGCCAGCCATTTTAGAGAATTGTGCGGGCATTCCATGTCACTATGCTTACTTTAGATTTGTCAGTCGACTGGCTTCTTAAAAGTGTCGCCTGCCAACGTCATCCATCCTCGCTAATTCCAGCGGAGAATTTTTTTCTCTACCTATAAGTTTCAGCAACGATGTTGTTTTTTACGGGATGGGTAGCTAGCCCAGTGCCTAACCTCCCCTCATTTTCTGGCCTTGAAAGGGGCTGGCAAACAAGGCAAAGTGTCGTTTTGGTCTAACTAACACTGGCTGTTTACCAACGTAATCGTATTTCAGTAAAGCACCATCATTCCTTATCAAGCTTTTCATATACTTTTAAATCCACTGCTGGTTATGGGTATTCTGAAACCAACCGACTGGAAGCTGTTACCTGCGTGTACCAGTCAGGTTTGTATGTCTCAATGATCTAATGAACTGTACTGGTTGGAACAAAATGTACATCTAGAATTACCCTAAGCTGGTCCGTGGATATTGTTGCTGAGGTCTTCACCACTAAAAGTCCGTGTGTGGTCTGCTTTAGACAGTTGTTCTTTGGACTTGGTGGTCACGAAACACTAATGCTTTTTCTCTTTCAGGTACTCGAAGAAGAGACCAACTTCTATAGAATGTAAGTAGCAGTGGCCCACAGAAAGTTCTATAGGTGCAAAACGTTCTTCTGTTCATCATCAGCTTTCATCTTCTAAATCTGCTTACAAAATACTACATTAGGTAACATAGCTAGTCGGGGAATTGGCTTGCTTAACAAGCATAAACCACTTCAGTTGATGGAGCTTCACAACCTCATCAATCGAATTCCCATCGTTAACTAAAATTCTACACTTAACCCTAGTATTACTTACCATATTGCTCGAACTAACATCAAAAACTTAGTGAAATCACTTATAAGCAAAAATCACTTGCAACAGCCATGTCTTATGAATGGAAAAAGGACAGAACGAAGTGTTACACAATACACGCACCTTTTGATCGATAACGGGATATCACACCTGCACCTAAGATGATGTAAATTTGTGGTACCAAACGAACATTTTGTATCCATGCTGAGATTTTGTCAGCATTCAGTTGGAGAGGTCGGATAGGGCTTCCCAAATAAATGAAGTGGTCAACACGCTCAACCATTTCACTAGCGATCCTGCAGACTTCCTGCATCACGATCTTACATTTGACAGAGGCGAATTCCATACCAAACAAACTAAGATATTTTGTCAACGTGTTCAGAAGACTTGACACTCTGTCAGAAGGACTGATACATTTGAATGCTCTAAATAAACGAGATTGTATCCTAGTAACAACTCGTTAGAGTCCATTAGCGTTATATCCATTAGTACATCTGTGGTGAAACTAAATAAATAGGAAGATATAGGGCAACATCCATCGTCACTTTAGATGACAACTCATGAGCTCTTAAATGACTTCATGAGTCCCAGGAGTGTGTCTGTCAGTGTAGTGTACTTTGTCGACACTGCCCTGATGAACAGACGTTTACACATTACCTCTCGGTCGATGGGGTCAAGTGTTGTCTTCAAATCCAAAGAAATATGGCAAGTTTAGGCCAATGCATTCACCAAATTTTGGTAGGACTCTTCAGCTGAATAGTTTACTTACGGTCATATATGTATGTATACTATTAGAAATTCATTGGGAGACCTATGACTGATAGGAAAATAAACTGCAGTGAATCAATCATGCGAAATGATAGATGCGAATATTTTACAGGTCGAGTTATGATAGATAAGGAGGAAGAATATGGGAGATTAAAATTGAGATAAAAAAATGGATTATGGTTCAGTGACATCATTTAAATAAACAATTAATTATCAGAGAAAGAACCTGAAAATATCAGTAACTGCAAACTGAATAACAGTAATGTCACTACTCATGTTCTGCAAAATTTCATAGGGTGGTAAAGTTATAGAGTTGGGCAACCGTGTATAACTACAATGGTGATTGATATCAGTGATGATAGGTGTCTGAGTGTCCCCCAAAGGTTTTCAGGGTGTTGACCAACTTCTCAAAAACACCCCTCCAACATACAATTCCAAAGGACTCTTACAGTAAAGATTGTTGTCTTGCAATGTGTGTAATGGTATTTTAACTGATGGAGAGTGAACACATGATTGATGCATCCACGACTTGAATGCAACTGAGCTTGATCTTCATGAAGCGATTTCTCACACGTTTCAGAAAACATTCCGAACATGACAGCAGTCTATTTTAGATGCAACCGGTGACCAACTAATATTCCAATGATTGTCACATACATTAGACAGACTTTATAAAGACAGGCATAATGGTGACTTCACTTCAGATTGTTGCAACACTCACATTTTCTTATACTTTTCTAAACGACGCAGTCAGTTCCTCGATCGCAGTCTCACCATCACCGTTAAAAAGACTCGGGGTAAGTTGTCTTGGCCAAGTGCCTTATGGTTGTTGTTGTAATCTGCACATAGCTGCAGAACAAGGTCTCCATTATCTGACCTGCGACTACCCAGTTTCAGTTTACCAACTAAAGGACTCTCCTCTGAGGCTAGACGTCCGACCTGCTCATTTAATTCTGCAACCTATACTGCGATGGGTCGACGCACTTGCGAAGCTCATTGACTGGTTAGTGGAACTCATCTTTAGTCGTATCCACCTGCAATCTCTCCGTGCTTAGGTAGAAATAATATATGTGGAAAACACTTCTTTGGCCTGTATCTTATTATCACATAATCGTGTAACTGAATGGAACATAAGCAATTTTTAATGGCGATTCAGTTGACTAGTCCTTCTTCAGCTCTCGCGCTCGGTATGGTACCACTACCAGCTAAGTGAGATGCTGATGCCACGAGGTCCCCAAATAAGCTCACATGAAACGTATTGTTTGAATTCTCAGCTGAGGAAGATGTTCGAAGCACTTCACTGTGCGGCAGCGTACATCAACAGACAGACTTTCCAGGGTTTTAGTCAGACCTATCTGTTGTTCTATTTGCATCAGTGTGCGAACGCTGTAGGTGACAAGCTTGAACGAGATAAGTGGTGTCAGAATAGCCATATTAGATATCACACTGATCAGAAACTCAATGTAGTCTGCAGCTGATGAGAACCTGTGAAGTAGAATGATATCATTTTATACTGCAAATCTGGTGTTTCTTTCTCTATCGAAATTTATCAAGGGAACCAAATGTATAAAACTAAAAGACTAAAAAATTAAAATAACAATCTATATATGTAAATAAAAATATAATAATAATGGATAAAATGACTGAATGTATGATTGGTTAAGTGATTTATGCGAGTTTGCAGAAGTGTTGAGTTTTCCATTAATTTTCCATTTCATCCCTTGTTACTGGATAGCTTGTAATTGATTGGTCATGAACACACAAAGTTGAGTTTCTAAGTCCTCCTATACACGATATGGCTCTGTTGGATTTGTGTTTTATGTTTTCATTTCTAATGGTGTTACTTTCTTGATTTCCCAGTCATTCTGAACAAAAATCAACTTTAACTTAATAAGGAAAGTAGGCTTTAGAAGTTTTTACTGAATTAGCTCAGTATATTGTTCTAGTGGTTTTGATATATGATAAGTTGTTTCTCTCATGTTGTTGCCAGTACTCACATACATTCTAACTGGTTACCTTAGTAACTTTAGTTCGAACTTTGGTGTGATATGATTATGAACAATAAATTGTGCTAGAAACGTCATCTGTAAATATTGCTGTGTAACACTGTGAGACTTTGTCAAAATAAATTTTACCCATAATGGAATTTGATGTGTTCTCCCTCATCATTTTTATCGGCCTATAAATTAAATCAGTCAGTAGTATCGCTGTTCCCGTTGGTAGATTTTAATCTAAGTGAGTGCAAAGCGTCCGAAAATGCTGACTATACCATGTGATTCAAGTATCCAAGTTTTGCCCACTTTTTAGTCTAATTCACTTTCTAAGCTGTATATATTTATATGAAATAAGTTACACCGTAATGTATATCTGCAAGTTGATATTTATGTAGGCCAAATTGAAGGTAACTGCTGTTTTTTTATCAACGATATTAATTCAGGTAGAAAAACATCAGAGTAAAACACTTAAAATCTCTATCACTTTTGCTTTATCTTCTACTTACACAATATATACACATGTCTTCTTAGCCAACATTATCTTGAATTATATTATCATTCTAATTTATTTTTTTACCCACATGTATTCACAGCTTACGCAAAACTTTTGTTCGTCTTCCTATTCTTAGTTGTCCAGTTCTGCCTGCATATACACAAACATTTACAAGCAAAATTCTGCCTTACGTTTTGCTGCTATAATGCTATCCGACGTTAAACCAGAATAAGTTAGTAAGATAGGAAGGATAGTAGTTTTATTCTGGTATAGTACCAAAGCTTATTGTACTCTTGGAAAACTAGGTATCGCGTACAAACAGTTGGACCTTAATATAACAGTGTGCTTAATAACGGTAGTACTGTAACAGCAGAAGGCAAGACATGCAAGCCAAGGTATATTTTCAATTGATCAAACCGCTATTTATATAAATACAGTTTATATTCTCTAACCAATCAATGAGCGTGTGATTTTGGTTTACATGAAATAGAATGTTCAAATACATATAATATCTTGTTGTTAATTCAGTATTGAACTGTGGGAATATGTGATAATAATATTCTGTTGGAACCACCACAGTATTGCTTATCATGTCAGTGGAGATCATTGCTAAATATCGAATGCTATTGCGGCTGTAAGCTACTGCTGTTATTACCCCAATATCTCTGGTGAAATCTTTCATTTAGACAACCTAATTTTACCTCACACATGCTTATTTTAAATTGATTACCAGCATTGTTATTCATAAAAAAACGTTTTCAAATTTTCTTTATTTATTGTATCATTGTTACAAATTAACTTTTATGGTTGATGTATAGAGATGCATTATTCGACTGTTATCGATACAAAGCTGTTAAATTGGAGGAAAAAGTATTTGGAAAAGTTATTCTTTATTTAGTAGTCCATGCTCACGACTCTATATATATATTCTTATGTGCGTCTGTGGCATAGCGGTTAGGACTCTCGCCAACCATTCACATGGTCCTGGGTTCGATCTCCTGCTGACGCACTCCTGATATCATTGGTTGGCCTGCAAATTTGGGCTACCGATATCGCATGCTGAAAATTCCATACTTGTACCAAAAATACGGTGTGGAATCAAGCTATAATCAGAAAGAAAATGATCTAGGGTGAGTAGACTCGGGCCTTTTTATTAACATGCTTTCACATGGCCAAGCGGTCGGAGCCCTAATCATTGTCTTCATACAACAAAGGTTGTCCTCATAAGGTTGGAATAATCAGTGTAGTTATCCAGCTGTCACCAACTGACTGGTGGACTCGGAGGATCCACCTAAGGGCGTTAGGAATTCTCGGTGCCAAGCCTTTGGTGCACATTGACTCCAGGATCTGGAAAGAACAAGTAGTGTGTTAATCTATTTCACTTACCGGAGTCAATGGGAAGGATATAATGCTTTTCAGCTGCTTTGTACATCAGGTATTTTGTCAAAGTTTTAGAGAATGGTCCCGTAGAACAACTATTTGCTTCGGTTTGGGCGTACAGGAAGTATCTTATCTCTCATATGACAGATGAAATGAATGGCATATTCAAGTATATTCACTTACTGTATTTTTGAAAGTAACGGCAACTGAAACCTCTATATTCCTATAGAAGTTTCTTTGTCCAGTCAGTCAGTATTGAAAATGTCTTATTTCGGGTGGTCTTTCCATTGCAGCGTAATTTGTAAAAATTCAGTCCATTGTCCATCTTATCACTGTCATTTGTATATGATAAAAGTTTTCCTATTGTATATTTAGTTCCCGTTTCAGAAACACTTGAAGTCAATGATACTTCTTTAGGTGGGTAAATAATAATGTAACACTTTTTGTGCGAATTTGTTACTGTGTTTAGTCACCAGCAATGTTAATACAGCACTTATAATTAAAATTGGTGTTTGTCTTGTGTAGATTTTCATTTCTATTCGTGTTTGTTTTATGTTATGTTTGTAGACCTGATTAATATAACACGAGAATCTCCACTTTTAACTCATATTTTGCTAGCTGATCCATTAATACTTTGTTTGTTGATTTGTTTTTTCTCAAACATATTTAGCTAACGTCTAATCACTGCTTATCGCCTTTTTCACAGAATTCGTTTTCTTCTTACATTTATGCCCTAGTACACCTAAAGATATAAAAAGTTGTTGTCTCACCATTTTTGAGGGTATGCTTGCAATACACATCCATGTTGTATAATAATGAAATTACTTTTTTTTTCTAGATCACAACTTAATTACAGAGTAATAACCAATGTACTTCATTTATGATACTGGAGATAATTTGTAACCGTTTACTAAATATCACGTTTTCTGTACAATAATGTGCCGTACCTGTTGTGTTTATGACCACAGAGTATAATTCATGATGAAAATCCTATTAGACTTTAGATGTTTGACTACTGTTACATGATTAGCGCTGTTCGTGTGTTGTCGAGCAACACTGATAGGAATGGTGTTTAAATGTAGATGGTGTACAACGAGAGAGTAACTACTTGATAAGATTGTAAACCCTTATCGATAGCGACACTATGCATGTGTGATCAGTTTTGACAAGATCGGAGTAATAAAAAGAGTTTGAGTAGTTAAAATACTTCTCAATCTTTAACAGTTAGTTGGGCATAAGTTTTTTCTGGACTTCATTTCCATCTAAATTATTTTTACTTATAATTATCTCACATTTACCCGAGACACTTCATGATTATTTCATATATCTGTGCCAGTGTAACAGTAGTAGCCATGAGATAATTCAGGCAGATAGTTTGACGCCCGTTTTCAGAAATCCTTCTAATTCATAATGGAACAATTCGTACTGTTTTAGAAGAATCGTTTCTTCTGTACTAAGCAGTATTGTTTAGTAAAACTGTTGTAAAAATGTTTGGTGGTTAGTTTTGTATGTATGTGCATAATCATAGTTTCTATTTACCTATTCACATAGAAATATCTATGGGATAAATATATAATATTTCCTTACAAGGAAGGTGTCATGATGCAACTGGCAGAGAATCATTCACTGTCTGTGATCCTCCATATCCGATGAATCACCATGTTTTTCCATGTGACTGTTTTTCCCCTCACATTTTTGTTTGTTATGGTTCGTTCGAATCTCTTCTTTTGTCTACATTTGTGTGCTTACATGGAGTGTGACAACTTGAGCATCTGCACTTCTGTGCTAAGTTCTATGTTGAAACTCAGTCAATCAAATCCAACCGGATCAATGATAATTTCGCTTACCATGGTGGTAGACTATTTGAAATTAACATTGACACCGATTGTGCAGTTTTCTAGTTTAGAAGATACATTTTAATTAATAGACAAAGTGTTGTTGAGAAACCTACAATTATCGTCCTTAAAGACAAGACATTTTATATGACTAAGTAAGATTTTACTTCTTTGTGAGAATATGTATAACACTGATCTTTTTCTTGTGTTTTAAACAATAAATTATTTGACTCTTGAAATATAGCCTTCCAGCTGTAGGATGAAACCGAGTCAAACCGTACATAGATTTTTGTATATTACGCTATAAGCCATTCTTAATATGTAAGGACCACTAGTACTACTGTGCTTCCCGTGATCTTTGAGTACATATACATATTCAATTCTTGTGATCTGCCGGATCTATTAAATGCTCATTATTCTACGCATACCTATTCTTTTTCTTGTACATTTCTGTTCATTATATATACATATATATTCAATTGTTTCTCTCTATCTTTGTGTGCTGTATGGAGTGTGACGACTTGTACTGCTGTACTTCTGTGCAAAGTTTTACGTTGAAAACTCTGTGAGTCATTCAAGTGTTATCAATTAAAAAAAACTTTCCATGACTCACACTTTTTATATCATAATAAGTATCCAAGCATGTGTTGTTATTACTGAAAAATGAATATAAGTTATTAAGCTGTTTATCACACACTGTTTACATATGTATGGGTATGTGTATATATGTATGGGTTAAGCGTTAGAAATAAATATAATATTTTTTCATTTCTTTGCATTCCGAGTGGAACCTGTGACCCCAAGCTTCAGCTTTGAAGTTTCAGTATCGGTGGTGTTGTTTTTACGAAGTGAGGTTGCTAGCCAACATAGTCCAACCTTTCCTCTTCATCGAGGAGTGCGTCGGCTGGGAATTGAAATCAAACCACGTGCCTGGTTGGTGAGTGTTCTACTATTAAATTATTGACGCAAATACAACGCAGTTAATATGAATCTAACTTAGTCGTTGAAGGTGTCATGAAAATGCTGCAGTTGAACTCAGTACATAGACTTTGTAATAATTCATTCCATTTTTTTGTTCTCATGCAGCTAACATCTATAAACACCGCAACATAGTTATACGTTGTTCTCATTCATTGTGATACAATTTCTACTGTTAGGAAATTAAAAACTTGGATTAGAAAGTACTAAATTTCAGTGTTCGGTGTTTGTTGGAAGTGGTGTAACAACAGAAGACAAGGGCCAGGCAACAGATCGTTTATTAAGGAAAATCAACACATATTTACAGATTCTAATGTAGATTACTGTTAGTAGAAAATATAGTCTTTTGATTGGTTGTTTCTCACAGAAATTTAACCTTGCATCTCTTTGTGGCTGTGTCAGATCATCCATATGCTAACTGTATCCACCTACGCAAAGCCTTTGTTCTCATTTTCTCACCACCAATATTGGGGACATAAACATTGACGTCAATTACTACCTGCTAACTTTGGCTAGCAGCCAGCTCTCACCACAGTGGTATCTGAATTTGGATTTAAACATCCATGTATGGAAACACTGCCTAGTCAGAATGTTTGGGAGGGATGTGGTGTGGACCTAGGATTTCTGCAAGTTAAAGAGTCATTTGAAATCAGGGACTACTGAACAACTGTTTCGTACTAGTTCTCGACCCCTCACAGTACAAACCTATGACCCCATAAGAGATGGAACCCACGACCTTCAGGTTACTTGGTGAGCACGTCACCAGTTAGCTGCTTATTTGAATTCCATTGGTATATGAATTCCAACTTCAGTCAATCCGTGATAAAACACCATCTCAGTCTAATGTCATCGGCAAGAATCCCACCTTACGCCTGTTGGTCCACACTGGCCACATACACAATCTAGCAAAACTCCGCGAATTTCATCTCGTAGTCTGTAAATGCTTCAAAAATGCACTCAAAAATCTATGAATTCTTATGCATGTGTCATTATAATGTAGCTATTACATAAAAATGGGCATCCGCATAATTCGGGCAGTAACTTGTTCATAGTAGGTCTTTAAGTGTTTTGAAACTTCAAGGTGAATTCAGAAATAAGTAGAAATTAATACGGAATTAGATGTATCTGACCATCAATGCTACATCACAATAAATGGAATGATATTTTAAGTGGTTATAATAACTTCTCTTTAGAATACATCATTCTTCCTTCAAACTGCGAATACTTCAAGAGTCCGGAGTAGTTGTCAGTGGCTTTTTATGTTTATTGCCTGAAAAGATTCTGATGTGTTGATCTATCGCCTGCCTTGTGTCAGTGATCCATCTCCGTATATGTATACTTAGGCTGCTGGCACTTAGTTATTTTCTGCCTCAATATTTATCTGCATATTACAAATATCTGCGTAAATATGAGATACTGATTCAAGTTTAAATATAATAAATAACAGTAATAATACTGGTTATGTTATTCTTATTCTTATCAGTCATACTCTTTCCTGATCCACTTATACCTATAGCAAAAGCATTCAGACAGATGAAGTTAGTGTAATAAGACGTCTTAGTCACATATTTAATATATTCATTATCTTAGTGTCATAGATAAACGGTGTTAGTACACTTACCTAGTTTTTGTAAATCTGTTGTAATTATCTTACTGGAAACATTTTAAAAAAGCAATAAAATTTAATAAAGCATGATTTAATGAATTCATCAAATTTCGGTAGAACTCTTCAGCTGATACTCTATATACACGTAATATACATACATATACTATGGGAAATACATTGGGACATATAAGATTGATAAGCAAATAAACTACATTGAATTGGTCATGCAAAATGACACGTGTGAATGTTTTTCAGGTTATGTTCAAATAGAAAGGTGTATGAGAGATAAATAGCATAACGCTTCAATTACATCACTCAGATAAACTTAAATATATCAAGAATTGCGAACTGAGTAATATTAATAGTAATAGTTATACTGATATTGCTGAAACGAGTTAAGATAACGCTACTGATAAGAGGCAGAACAAAATATTAATAATATATCCCTGTATATCGAGTGTTCAGCTGAAGAGTTCTACCGAAATTCGAAGAATCCATTAAATTCTGCTTTATTGACCTTTGTTGCTCGTTTTATATTATCTTACTGTTGTCGGTTGTTTAATCAAAGGTTAGAAAATCTCAGTAGTCTACAGCGGCTTCACCACATGTAATATTAGTGCTTATACACTTGAAATTAGTTTTACGTCAGTGTTCTGATGTTTTCTAAATTTAATCAATGTTAGATTTGTACAATTTTCTTAATTTTGATGTACTTGCACAATTGTATCTATTATTATTTGACCGATATGAACAGTAATTGTTTTTGTTCTATTTTGACGTATAACCCCATGATTTTATATTTGGAAAATATGTGTCTATCAGGTAATTCATTGCTTCTCAAATAAAAAAATGCACTGAATTCACTTTGCTTTTACTTCCTTTGAATCGCATAACACACTGGGTTGATTGAATTTTTTCCTCTTACTCTTTACTCTGCTTTCAGTTAATATTTGTGTGTTTTATACTCTAATTTATTTCGGTATCTATTTTGTAAATTTTCTGTTTAGGCATGATGAAAGAAGTTGAAAAGTTAATTAAAGAGAATACTGATTTGTATGAGACAAAGTAAGTTTGTTTTGCCACTTATTTTACATCAACAATGTTTTTTCTGTGTAATGACTCAATTTTTCATCAAGTTATGGCATATAATTGCTGATTTTAAGAAATGCTCATTCATTTTACAGGTGTTTATTTCTTTATTGAGGTTGAATTGATTCTCATTTTGAAGGTACGATACACAGTTTATTCTTCTGTTGGCTGTTCAGACACTTTGTCGTTTAGACGCTGTAAACATAGGTTCCGAGGATTTAGGAATATATTTGCAACTTGAGGTAAGAAGAAATGATCTTTTAGGAGTCGGATATATCAGTCCTTATATACTCTGATTGTATTTAGTTCTTCGCAGGACTGGATTAAATTCTCTGTTTAATTATTCAAGAATAATCAGTATAGTGTTATTTGTTTATAGTTTCTAGGTGAGAGTTGTGTATATGACTGTACATTTTGTCATATTTATGTATCTCTGAAACATGTGGATCAGGGCTCGGGTGATTTATGAAACTTACTATTGTAACATCATTCTTTTTATAACCGTTGCCAATATTTTGTAGAATCGTCATGTAAGTAGTGTAGAAATAGGTCATTTGAAGTTGGGAAAATTCAATAGACTGGCTTGTTTAGAATATGTTTTGATTACACTCCACTTCCAGCTATCTGTATTGTATTTGCAATGCTACTCAGACTAAGTGAATAAAATAACACCATTTCATTACACCATTGTAAAGACTGTAAGTTTCCAGAATGGGATTCAGAAAACAGTTGTAATTGAAAGTTCTTTATTAGTACTGCTGATGAATTCACATCTTATTTTTTCTATACGATAATGTTATCAGTGATTAACTATTACAATTTTTAACACCTCGTTGTATATACTCGTCTTATCAAGTCTGTTTACATCAATTAATAGTATTATTCCTACTTTTCTGTATTAACTTTTATGCATCTTTACATAGTGATCCTGTTGATATGATGTAAAGAAACTCCTATTTTTATTTGTGCAAAACTTTGCATTGCCTGTAACCGATTGTTAATTTCTAGTTTTTTTTTTTTTTGAAGAGAGAAAGAACGAACATATTTGCAGGATAATACGAGCTCGTTTTATTTCGTGGATTCTCATCAACTGCATACATCCTAAACAAAATCAAATTATAGGTTTCAAGAAAGTTGTGGAACATACTTTTTCATAAATACTTTGAGTTATAGATAGAAGGCATAAGGAACATAATTCCAGAAATTGGTGTAGGTAGACAGATTATTCGGTGTCAAAAAACAACTAATTATATATAGTGGGATTGGATAAGAGGGGTAAGAGTTCAGTTTTCTATTGGAAAACAACACAGATTGGTTAGAGGCATATTACAGGGTCAGGGTCAGAGAACAAAGTAAATTTACACATCTTGTGGTGGAGAGTTTAAGAGGGTGGGGGTGAATAGTGAAGTAACATTTATAACTTAAACACACAAACAATTAAGTAGATTTAGAAACTTGAAGGTCAAAATTGAATAGAATGTTACGTAACAAGACAAACACACAGGCATACTGACAGAAAGGCAAAACAAAAGTAAAATAAAATAGAGTTAGGGTTACCAAGGTAGTGAAAGATTAATCACACTATCTTTCTGTATACAAAGGTCTGGTCGAAATCTCTTGATAGCAATGGCTTCTGCGAAGCGAAGTAGCCGTGGGTTTCTTTGTGTATTGATTATTTTGAAGGCTTGGCTGATTTCTACTGTGTGTCCTGTGTCAATTAGATGTCTGGCGATTGCACTTGTTAACACTTTTCTTCCTTTTGTACATAGACTTAGGAATGTGCTCGGAGAATCTAGTAGATGCTGTCCTCTCAGTCCTTCCTATGTACTTGCTACCGCAGGTGCACGTGAATTGGTAAATGCAGTTGGAGTTGACATGAGTAGGGAACTCATCTACTTTTGACTGGGTTAACGAGCACACAGTGTTGTGAAGTAGGATCAGTCTGGCGGCTGGGAACGTTCTTTTCAATGCACCTGTGATTCTTTTTTGTGTTCTTGTAGATACGTCTTCCCCTTTGTACGCTAGACAGATGTAAACTGGTTTCTTTTCAACGGTGTCGGGTTTCGGTTTGTGTACTTCCTCATTTCTATATTTTAATATGAACTTTGGAGGATATCCATTCTCGATAAGGTTCTTTTCGATGATCTCAAGTTCTTCTTCAATCTTGTCTTCTGAACATATTTCTTTGGCTCTGCTGAAGAGCGTTTTTACTAGACATCGTTTGTAACTGGTTGGGCAAAAGCTATGATAATGTAGGTATTGACCAGTCCAAGTTTCTTTCCTGTAGACAGATTTTTGGATTGTCCCATCGTTTCTTCTTTTTATGTTGACATCTAGGAAATGGAACTGGTTGTTTCTTTAGTAGTCAAGTGTGAATGCGATGTTGGGATGGGCCGCGTTGAGTTTCTCAAACATTGTGGACGCGTGTTCTACATCATTGCAGACCACAAACGTGTCGTCGACATATCTGCAGTAATAGGTGGTTCTTTCTATTTCTTCTTTCATTTGAGTCTGTTCAAGATGAGCCATGAATATGTCAGTTTTTTGTGTGTATAGGTATTTATGACTGATGGTTTGGGACTTGTTGCTAGGCTGCTTTATCACATACTGTGTATTAAGTAGCTTGGCAATAATAGCTTAAACTGTTAAATATAATATTCATCAGCATAAGTGTTGTATAAGTAAGTTATGAGTATTAGTACTACGTATTTAGTAGCACTTAAACTGGTACTAATATGTTTTTCTCCTTACAATTTGCGCTAATTTCAGAAACGCTTTAAACGTTTTAAAGGATGACCTCATTCGAAAACTGGACGAAGTTACTGGGTAAGTAAAACAGTATTTCCATACACTAGGGTATCACCTACATTGTTTTGTTTGAGGGTAGAAGTAAGTAGAGTATCATTTAAGCTCACGACTCATTGCACTTGGCCCTTGAGTTCTTAGCTTTTGATTCTATTCAGTGTGCTACACTTGCACTATGATAAGTAAAAGAAGCTAAGAGTGAATAAACGAAACCCTTGTCTTTCTATTTACCAGTTCTAAATTTTGTTCAATGTGAAGTAGTGTTGATGGGTTTTTTAATCTTGGATTGAAATCAAAGTTATTCATTTTGGTATCGTAGTAGTATTGTTTGCGATCAATAAATTAAGCTTCTATTGTTTTACGGTAAATTTTTATTTCATATGAACCTTTTGGGGCTTATGTATGTGTATATCATTCCTTTGCGTTCCGAGTGGAACACAGGGTTTCAGTCTTTAACTTTGAAGTTTCAGTAACAGTGGTTGCATTTTACGGGGTGGGGTTGCGTCGGCCGGTCTCGTAAAGCACCAATCTTCTTGTGGTGTCCGGAACGCTCTTGTTGACCCTTGAAAATCCGAGCCTGGCAGTATAATTTTCGTGACAGGCCATATCTATATCCGCAGCAGGTCCCCAAGGTGAAAAGTCTCTGGCAATTGAACACTGTAGGTAAGGGAAGTCGGCAAATGGGACCCGTAACGTCGGGGGGGGGGTCGAGTCAGACAGGCCGAAATCAGTTACGTGTCGGTCCAGTTTGGGGCTGGTTTCTTAGCTTCTTTGTGCTCTTCGGCATGCATTGTTCTAGAGTTACTGAACCCTGTCATATGCCTAGCAACGCGTACGGATTCTGGCTTCAAGCGGTTGTACTTCCGTTGTTTGCGGTGTGGCGGCTAACTGAAGACTGGCACGGACCAAGCGAATCTGACTGTCTAATTAAAACAAAGCATTGCGATGTCCACTGGCACATATATATATATATATATATATGCGAACGGATGGTACCAAGACACATTTGTCTACTACCGCTGATGATCTACTTGATTGTGGTTGACTACATCATGTGGGTAACCGTGAAGAATACGAATTCGGGTGTGTGTTGGACCTACCAAAAGGCTATCGAAGTCGCTGAGAATTTCTCATATCGCATAAACTCAACACCACCGAAAATCAACGATTTGGTAGATGAGACAACGAAGGCAAGACTTCAGGTGAAGATAGAGAACATATAGTTGGCGAAAATACATGAACTACAACAACATACGCTGATCACCATCACTGGGAGAAATCTGAAGGAAGTTGTCTCTCTTCACTAATGTCAGAATTGTTTCAACTACAGGATGAAGGATTGGGAATTTTGGACAAGCGTTCACTATTCTGAAACTGGTGTAGAGATCTACATCACTCAGTATAGTAAAGAAGGTCCAAATTTCCAAACTTAATGTGTCGAGCCAGTGGTACTATATATCGTTGAGAGACGTAGGGCGTGCGTCACGAAAGCATTTCCAATAGACTTTCTAGCAAATTTTCATCAGTAGCTACCGTCATTACCTCGATACTGAAGATCAGCCTACCGGCCGGAAAGGGAAAGTAACACGGAACTCTGTCAATTAGTGAACCAACCAATAGTCTATTACCCAGCATATATGCGGCGGGAAATAGAGATGGATTAGAACTACACTTAGTAGACCGTTGACTGAAATCACACGTCAGGGAGACCCTCGACTGGAAGATGAGTGAAAGGCAACTTGCTGGGTCTATGATGATCGCATGGAGAAGATCATGTGAAGAGGAAGTGAAAGTTTGTATATGCTCATGGAGCCAGTTGAAAGTGAGGTCTGAAAACCGAGTGAAATGTAGATGTGATGCTGAATCCTTATATTTCAATCGGAACGCAATGAATGAATGACAGGAATAATAATAATATATACGAGCAAATAGTGAAGAATCATAGGCTTATTTATTGGTAAAAAAAGTGTTGACAAATTTCACAGTTAAAGAATATTTAAGATGGAAAATACTCCGAATTAGGTCTGATTCATTTCAACTGTCACGCGTGTTGGAAATGAATGGTTTTGTATTGTTTTAATATCATGTCTAGTTTGAATGTGTGATTATTATCCATGTCAGGAACTACGTCTAACTGAATACTTTGTATTTTTAAATATAATAGGGAGAAAGCCTTGTTAATGCAAGAAGTTCATGGCATACGTATGGATCGAGACAATATTAAATCTGAAGCTAATCGTCTATCACGTTTGGTTTATGAATGTCGTGATCAAATATCGAGTTTAACTGCTCGTCTTAAAGTTTATGAAGATGTCAATGAAGCTGATGGCCATTCATCTAGACTGTCTCTGGCACCAATACAACAATCCAAATCTTGTTGGACTTTAAATACTGTAGATTGTATTGAAGATACAAATTATCCTTCGAAACATCGTAATAAATCTGTAGATAACTTAAATAGTATTTTGCCAGAGAATACTTTAACTAAGAATGAAGGTGATGGTGATGCATCTATTTCTATGAAAAAAGTATGTTTCAATCCACCAGTTATCGCTTATCTTCTTTTTGTCATCCTCGATTTTGCATTTAATATTGCGGATATGCCGTTTTATCACTTATTAAAACAAACTTGGCACATTATAGGCACCAAGAGATGCGCCATACAAAATCTCATGGTTTGTACGATGACTAGGATACTGCTCAAACCTCCAGACAGAAGCACGTGGTTGTCTCAAGAGGCTATACGCCGAGCCTTTGACTTGAAGTTCGATCCACAAGGCAGTGGATCTACGTTCCTATGATTACCGGTGACCAAACAAGATCATACGTCACTCGATCCTTTCAGATTCTGGAGCCCATGTACACCATAAGTTTGGAATCAGGGTTTTCCAGCTCTCCTAGGTAAATTAGCATATCCGCCAGTCCGATTGTAAGCACCAGATGTTTGCGTTTACGCTTTCACTCCCACTGCATGAAGACAGTGGATAGGATTTACCTGGCGGAAGGTTTGAACACCATTTAGTCATTTTTGGCATGTATTGGTAATTATTCAAACGGACTTATGCTTTAATATATTGTTATGAATAATTCTGAATGTTTTTATACCTTACTGAGTATTCATTTTATGTATGAAAAATAATTTAGGTGACCAAATTTGGTGAAGCTTGTTTCACTAAACGAGAAATGGCACGCGTAATAGCGGAGCGTAATAGCTATAAAGAAAGATTCTTGGAATTACAAGATGCAGTGCGTTTAGCGGAGCGGCTTCGAGGAGAACGTGACTCTCGTTTTCAACAAGTATCAATGAATAATAATTATGAACGGTGTGTCCAAAAGTCTCCTAGTGTCTCTGAATCTTTCTTTTCTGCTGTTCAATCTGGTTTAAATGAATTATTTTCCAATTTTGACCAAGCAGTGCCTTTAGCCTCCGTTTTGCCTTCAGAAGCTCAGTGTTACGGTCCATTTCCATTTGACAGTCATAGCTATTCCCAGCCATCACACCAAAACGAACATACAAATACTTCAGGTGCTAGAAGGAAGAATTCTGTAGGACTAAGAAGCATGTGAGTTTTCATAAATTCTCCTAAGTTCCACTAAAGATTTTCCTTAAATTTTTTGTAACTCTCTTTATAAAGTAATTGTACGTGCTTCATCGAAATAAATAATCATGATTAAACAGTGCCTACAAACAACTTTGTGTGGCTTAGGTGCTTTATTTCGATGAGAAAAATTTTAGATATTCGTTATGATACACTTTTGAATACTATCGAACTATTCTAAATTCATATTTTCAAGCAGGCAGCATTCACTACATTTGTATTCATACCAGAACTACCTTTAATTTATCCTAAGATCTCTCATGGGAATTATTTCACTTCGTCAGCTGTTTTCTTTTGATATCTGCCAACTTGTTTCATCCTTTTCTCGGGTGTGATGTCCACCAAGCTGCTGCCTCGACGAGCAGTGTTATCTGAATTAGGATTAGACTGGGAGAGAGTTAAGGGTAGTCAAACCGAAACCGGGTGTAGATTGTGGGGCTGGGATCCTTGAAACTGTAAGAATTGATTGTTGAAAATCGTTCATAGTGTGGATCAGGTATATTCTCGCTCCTTTTCATCTTCTAAATCCTAAAAGGTTTCATTAATCTTCGTGCAGTTATTCTTTCTATCCTATTCATGTTACTGTATGGTGGTTAGGGTTTTTTCCAATAATACTAAAGCTTTGTTTCTGAAAATATGTTAGACACAGTACAGAAATTCTCAACTTATTTATTTGCAAGGTATTTTCTCTTCATGCAGGATCTACAACTAAAACTAATCTGCAGTTTATCTCTTGACGGTGTGTTACTCCATAGAAAGAGAGATCCAGCTGTCTACGATATATTTTCTTCACCAACTGTACATCACTTTGTTGGAAGCCAATTAAAACTGTGCACAAGTTTATGTAGTGATAAGCGGATATAATTAAGGGATTAAAACAATGAGAAATACTGAAGAGTTAAAGCATTGTAACAACAGAAGGCAAGAGTCAGGCAACAGATCATTTATTAAGGAAATCAACGCATATTTATATATTTTCATGTACATTACTATGGATATTTAAGCGAACAAACACAGTCTTCCGATTGGTTGTTTCTCACGTAAAGTTAATCTTTCATCTATTTGTGACTGTTTCTTGAATGTCAAATCCTCTATATGTTAACTGCATCCGCCTACGCAAAGTCAATCTTTGTTCACATTTTCTCACGACAAATCTTGGGTACGTAAATATTGACGTAAATTACTGTCTACCAATTTGGCTAGTAGACAGCTCTCACCACAGCATTATGATGGATGGAAATTTTCGGTAGCCCAGTGATTCTCAAGCAGGCCGCCGACTATGTTCTCCTATTTTGTTTGTCTTCAGAAGCGTAGCAGCAGATTATCACTTTGATTCATCTATAATCAGTCAGTCTAGAAGATAACAGTTTGGACGGATCGTCTCTAAATGATCTGTATTGCTCTTTACCGTCTGATCTTCATCTTCAGGCGACAAATTTCTTCACAGAATTGATAAGTTCAGAGTAGTCAACACTTACACTTGGTTTCCTACTCAATTGTCTTTTAGACGTTGCAGTTACTCTAAGTGAATTCATTTTCTTTTTTAAATATTTGTAGAATGAAGAATTCAGTAACTGTCAGTTGTTTTTTAAACTTTTACTCCTACATACTCTGTGTACATTTATTTCCTCTCTTGCAATAATGGTTAGCATTATCTCAGATTTCTTCCTTTGTCACAGCCCGTGTCAATAATTAATTCGAGCTCAGGAAATAGCATCTCTTTTTTGAAATAAAATACTAGATTTGTATTGTGGTTAATTTGCATTAATTATTAATGAATTAATTAATCATATTGAGCCGAAAAGCCCAGTCTCTGTTGACATATCAGCTCCCAATGTGGTGAGAGCTGGCTGCTAGCCAAATTGGTAGACAGTAATTTACGTCAATGTTTACGTCCCTAATATTGGTCGTGAGAAAAGTAAGAACACAGACTGATTCAGCAACAACAATTTGCAGATAGATAATCTGAACTTCAATAAACGGCCACAAAGAGATGAAAGATTAACGTTCAGCGAGAAACCACCAATTAGAAGACTATGTTTGTTTGCCTACAATAATCTATAATAATGTACATTAGAATCTATAAATATCTGTTTATTTCCTAAATAAACGATCTATTGCCTGGCATTTGTCTTCTGTTGTTACACCAGTACGGACACTTCGACGGTGTTTGAACATTAAAGTAGTGTTATTTTGAACCATGGAAACTAACAGGGAAGTCCAGGACGCTCATTTATTCCTATTTGGGACTTGTCAGCTAAATGCATCAACTTCATGAATGGGAGATGGTACTCCCACTGAGACTCGAACCCTGGACCCATTGTTTCAAACACTAAATAGCGTGTTAGTGTTGAGCGTTCATGTCATACTTCAAATCTTTCTAAATAGAACATCATCATCCAGAAAGCACATACTGAATCTGGCTGTGCTAATCTGCTCATGAATACCATGTAAAATCAGTTTGATGACTATAATTTTTCGACAAACAACTTCCACTTTTCTATAGAAGCTATTTCAACTGTATGGTGCAAAAATAAATCGAAAAATCCTAATACAAATTAGTCAATTCAGCTGTCAGATGGTTGAACTATTTGCTGGTTAATTGTTACCTCAGCTAGCTTTGTGCTCTCATGCCACTTTTAGATAAGGATTAAAAAAGTTATTTATTTATTTATTTACAACAGCCAGAATTGTAATTAAATTTTCAGTTTTACCTCAAAGTGATGCAGCAAAATTAAAAGCTTATCATTGTACGTGGAATCTTATTACCAATGAAATTTGTAATTTATTTCACAATGCAACAACTTCTCCTAGATATTAGTTTTTAGCACTGATCATTTTTTTAAAAGTCTAATTCAATTCCTTTTCATGAGACGAAAAAGATAGTTGCTCGACGAAATCACCTTTCTTGTTTAGTGTGACAGTATCTATCAATGTGCACAGACAAACCATTCACATTTTGTTTTTTAAATAAGAAAACTAAACGGAGTTCTGTCATATTTGGTTTGTTTCTGTGGTTGTAAAACGAGGGTGGTTGAACATGTGGGCCTTTGCATGCATAAGGAGTTTATAGTAAAAAGCACATTATTTTCTCGTGTTACATATTATTTCGCATGATTTGTTTTATGGTATTCTTATGACAGATATGTACTACCTTTAGAAGGTTAGTACAGTGAGTATATTTCACATGTATATAATTAAATTCTTGTGACAATTCTATAAATACTTCTAAAATATCATAACAGTATGATTTGATAGCTGCGTAGTGGAAATTCCATTTAGAATTTTTTTCATGCGTATTTATGTATGAACACAATTCACAGTAAATTTCAAAACAAATAATATTTAACAGGGTTGAATGATGTTGCCTGCTTTAATGACAAACAATAGGTGGAAACTACTATTCTTTTGTAAATTCTCTCATGTGACGAAATAGTCAAAACACCTATGAAAAAAGTTCTTGTTCAGCGCTTTTACAAAGTGTTGGCTATCTTATTTAAAGTGCTTGAGAGAGACTTAGAGAGAGAGACTTAGTACGTGCGTCACGATCAGCGTTTTCAACACGCTGAAGACTTTCATCGACAGATGCCTTGGATGGCTCGATACTGGAGGTTAGGTGACTTCCCGACCTGAAAAGAAGGGTAACACAGAACTCTCAGTAAATGAACTAGGCAACACTATATAATATGTTTAATTCAATTTTAGATTTTCCCGTTGATTGATTGGAGCGAAGCATCTGCACAAGAAGCCGACATGTCAATCTGAGGAGACCGAGCACTTCGGTCCAATCAATCGACGGGAAAATCTAAAATCCAATTAAATAATTAATATGACCCGTTGCACAAGAATTGGCTCTCGTGGCCCAAGTAGTTTAGTGGGTAACGCTTTGGCGTTTGAAACTATGGGCACTGGGTTTGAGCCTCGGTGGAAACATCACTCACTGTGGAATGCAGGTACATCAAATGATGAGCACAAAATAGGATGAAATGCGCATCCTGGATTCCACTGCTAGTCACCATCCACCAACAACTAATTATATAATATGTTCAGAGGGATGTGTTGAAGGATAGCAGAAATCTTTTTATGCTAATCTCAGTACCATTTTGACTCTGGTCTCATTTTTAAGTAATCCCATCAGATTCATACTATGCTCCATTTGCTAACCATAATGTTAGTCAGAAAAAACAGAGTAGTTGTAAGTGTAGGGTGTAACACTTAGATAAATTAATTTTACACTCAATTAACATCTACTGGCGATCCAATAAATTATTCTATTCTTCTGGAGAAGTTATCAGAAATGATTCAAAGTGGAAACTTCTGGCATTTGTGTTTTATCTTCGTCGCATTTCTTTTATGTTGGTAGTGTTTCCTTCGTCTTTTGTAAAATCAGTTTTCTAATTATTGTTACTCTTTCGTTTTTGTGACTTCATACTCATAATCCAATAAGCATCGCCCATTTATGATGACATTTTAATCCTTTTTTTATTCGTTTACGTTTCGAGTGGAAAATAGAGCTTGACCTTTAAAGTTTCATTACTACTGGTGTTACTTTCTACGGGGTGGGGTTGCTAGCCTCACCCAAGCTTCCCCTCTTCATCGAACTTATTACCGGCTAAGTAAGGTTTAAGAGTGTGTCAGCCGGAAATCGAATTTTATTCCTATAATTGAACAGTATTCTTTGTAAGTGGAGTTATTGATTTGAGTTAATTTGTACTACTCAATGACTGATAGTATCGTACTGAAATACTCAGTTTCTGTTGATGTAGCAGCTTCAAATACAGACGATTTAACGATGTCTGCAGATTAACATTTTTTAAATTCTGGATGATGGTAACTAGCAGTGGAATCCAATAAGCCCAAATAATAACAAGTGGTGACCCCTGTGGCCTGGTAGACAACGCTTTGACATTTGAAACGATGGGTTCTGGTTTCACTTCTCAGTCAGAACATCATCACTTACTGGA